CCGGGGCGGTGGGGAGTGGTTCCAGGGAGGGCGGGGCGGCGGGGACCGGCGGTTAGGCCGGTGGTGGCTGGCAGCTCAAGGAAGGAGATGCGTCGAGAGGTTGAAGAAAGACCGTGGGCCACTGATTTCGCATCCAACGGTTCAAGAATCAACTGACCTCAAACAAAATTTCCAGTTGACTAATTTCTAGCCACATCCTCTTTTGAAATAGCTATATAACAAATATCAAAAGAGTAATGGTATCCAGTTTGGCGAGGAAAATCGCTTGCAAAGTAATTCGGTGTGTCGTTATAGATTGTCAGTTATAACCCTTGTAGATCCCTATAGTGTCGGACTTATGTATGTATTGGTTGGGTTGTTTAGTGGTTGATAGGTAGTACCATAGTACTTCGATGATTGAACTTACGGGTTGAATCTACAGGTAACAAAAAACAATAAATCAAGATGAAAAACTTAGGGGTTTTCCTCTTGAGTCGCGACCACCAAAGCGGCTCAAGAGTTCCCTCTTCTCCATGAATTAACTTCTCTTATCGCCCCTTTGCATCATCTTGGAGGGCTTCATTCCGGATTGACTTAACGCATGTGGGCAGCGAGAAGGTGGTCTTGTTGCGCTCTATGCATACATCTGCATTGTTCTGAAGGCCTCATTTTGAGACGACATCACAAGCGCATGCGTCGGTGCATCATCTTGAAGAAGTTCCAGTAGCGGTCTGGTATGAATGTGTTTGCATATTCCCAACCGAGCTCTATGGTGTCGCTGGCATGCATGCTATGGCTACTCTTTCCCCACCATGTAATTGGGGTTGGGTGGTCCGCAAAACATAGGGTAATGAGTCTACCCTTTTTAGCTCTAACATCTAAGGTGTGTACATCGAGATGATCTTTGTTGGTTAGGTTAGATTTGACAACGATGTCGTTCTTGAAGGTGGTGTACTTATGCTCATGATGATATGATCTTCACTACATATTTGGGTTAGTTTTAGGATGACCAAATAAGATGAATCCATGTTCTGGCCTTCACATGTTGGTTTCCTTACCAACATGGATCAGCGGTACATATGCTGCTACCTTCGTGAAGATGTTGTCTTGGTGGAGTTTAGTTGGGTTAAATGATATGTTGTTCGTTGAAAGAGCAACATGTTGTTGGGCTACCAGTGGCAGGTTCTCAAATGTTAGCTAAGGGTAGTGTTTTCTGCCACTTGTATGTGCCAAACAAAAAAAAGTCAGCTAACATTGAAAAATGAAACCAAATATGCGTCCATATTTAATCTTTTCAAGTGAAACCCTTCATTCATCATCATTATTTACGTCTGGATAGTGGAAGTACATCCTCAATAGATGAATATGATGCTAGCTCATCAATTTATAAAAGAAGATACACAATCAAAAGAAAGGGGCAACAAGAGGGACAATAATTTAGTTCAACCCAGCTAGCGTCCCAACATGGTAGATCTAAAGGCCAATGCAACATGCATATAATCTATATCAGAGTCGGGTTTGAAGCTAAAAGTCTTTTGTTACATAGCTTAATTATCAGGCCCTAAAATCTGGACCAATGCAATAGAGGCATTGGCAAATGCTCCGAGTAGTATATTGTGTTACACCAAACAAAAATAGTAGAGCTCGGAGCATCTCCAACAACTACCTTTTCCCAATAACAACCAATCTTCCTCTATCTAACAAAGGGAGAGTTGCCCTTCTCCCAATCCAATTCCCAATACTACGACGTCAGTGCACCACCCATTGGACCAACACACTGCCGCCGCCGCACACCGTGGTCGCGCGTCACCTCCGGCGTCCTGTATTCCTGTATGTTAGCTTGACAAGTTGGCCCGTATGTCAGGTTGGTTATTGGAGAAGATTTATTATGGTTATTGATTACATCTTTCACTACATCATCGGAAAAGTAAAGGAACACACAAAGATTGCATTGACAGATTTATCCAAGATGTGAGAAATATAAACTCTTGGCTACCTATTGATAAGGAATCCTGTTTTGAGGTATGACAGACATTTGTTAAAATAGAAGCTTATAATTTCACAAAAATGGAAATTTATCAATTTGTTCGATCTGATCACGGCAGTTGATAGGTTTCATAAAAAGCATGCCAAGAAAAGTACATATGTTGTACTGGAACAATCTTATACTCCCTCCATTCCTTTTTATAGTGCACCTTGTTGATAGCACTTATACCAAGACATGAGGTGGCACATTTATTTGGACTGAAATTGCCCCTTCTCTGCTCATACTGTTATGCATGTGCATGCATGCAGTGAAGCGCACTACATCCAGCGAAGGGCCATTTTGGACTAAAAGCGCTTATGCGCATTACATTGAGGAATATGACCCAGAATCTTATACGCACTAGAATATGGAATAGAGTGAGTACTAAAAAATATACGGTGGTAAACGAAAAGGATAAGAAAATATGTGTACCTCATTCTTCCAGTTTTGTTGGGCGTTATTAATTTGTTTTAAAAGTATCTTCCTATATGAGAAAAATGAGCAATTCTCTTACTCTTCATTGCCACATTCAACTAATACATGATACACAACACGATTAAGAACACAATGAATACCTAATTATCCACAAAGAGATATTGGTCAAACCATCACATCACTAAATATGGGCCGAAAATTGTAAAAAGCAACTAAGAAAGAACTAAACAACTGCTATGGAGAAGTGGTGATTAGAATTGGCAAATAATTCAATATGCTTGGAGAAGCGTCAGGGTGGAGATGAAGAGATAAACTAAATCAGTGGTGAGAAACTTAGGAGATAGTATAGTGCTCGGAGAAGATGATGCAACTGCATCACCACAGTCAGTGCTCTGGATTTTCTTCTCTTTACAAAAACAAAATAAAAAATGATGACATGGCTTCACCATATTGCAGAAAAATTCAATAGTGGGAGGCCAACTACTTAGAGTAGAGGATTCGATGTTGTAGATATTAGCACATCCTATATATTTAAGAAGTTCACCCCTACTACTTGATTTATCTCAACATGTATCATAGACACCTCAACAACCAATCACATTCAGCCAGGTCCACCACTATCTCATTTTCATGTGTTCTGGCGAGCCACGTCATCTTTCAGTTTTCCTATCAACGCCGCTCACTCCGTCGAGTCGCTGGCTGGATTTTTTTTTGCGCTGGCTTAATGCGTAACGCGCATGTTTCTTCCAAGTGTGTTGTACGAAGTATTTTTGCACACGAACGTATGAGCAATCCTTTTGATACAGAATAAAAAAAATCTTTTGATACGTGGGTCAGAGCAACTCCAACGGGCCGACGCAAACGGACGGCGAATTTGTCCGCTTTTTGTCCGTTTGGTTCGGCCGCCCGTGAGGCGTCCACCCTGTTTTAGATTTGGGTAGGTAGTGCGCTCTACACGCCGACCCATTTCATGTCCGCAATCAACATTTTAAAAAAAAGGCCTGCGGCAGCCATGTCTCATGCCGGCACCATGCCAGCGCCGACATACAATGTCGGCTTCAAAAAATAACACCACAGTTCATGCTGGCGCACTCGCCAGCCGGCCGGCACACATGCCAGCACACAAAAAGGGTGTGACTTGAGTTCAACCACGCCATCGCGGCTCCGTGGTCATACCAGCACACCTGCTGGCATCCAAAAAAGATGGAGCTCGCCGCCATAGATCACTCATCGTCGAACTTGAGCATGTCGGCGTGCATCTTCTCGAACCATGGGCTCTTCCTTGGCGACACGGTGTTGAGATCCACCTTCATGATCTCCACCACGGTCATCATGCTCGTGAGAGCCACTTCTTTGACCTTGGTCTTGGCGTTGGCAGCCTCGATCTCTAGCATCTTGGCTTGCTTCTCCGCCTCCATCTCAGCATCCGTGCTTACTTCTCCGCCTCCATGTCAAGCCTCCTCCTTCGGATCTCCATGAAGGCATTCATTTGCTCTTCTCTTTCTTGTCGGCGCTTCTCCTCCCTCGAGTCCTTCTTGGTGATCATGCCCTCCACGGTTGCGATCAAGGCGATCGATGCCGCATCCCGCTTGTCCTCCTTCTTGGAGTTAGTCTTTCCCCGCGACCGAGCCTTCTCGCCGTCCCCAACCTCCTCCATGACTTGCTTCCCACCAAGCGACTTGAGGGCGGCATATTGCACCTTGAACTTCTCCTCGTCTTTGATCACTCTAAAGCAATGGTAGAGGTTGAAGCACTT